GACTTTGGATAACCCGACAAAAAATTATCGCATGGCGTGAAGTCGGGTGATCTAGGAGTCCAGGGAATGTCTCCAAACTTCGATATAACTTTTTGAGGAAAAAGTGATTTCACCATGTCCATCGATTCTCTGGAAGTATGGGCAGTGGCCCCATCCTGTTGAAACCACGTGTTTTTGTTAAGTTGACGTTCTGTTCTTCCAATAGGAGCAAAAAAAAGTGTCAATCATGTCCTTGTTTCACTCGGAATTGAATGTCAACCCATGAGCGTTTTCATCTTCAAACGACACATTTTTTTAGTGTACATTTGCAATGTCTACATACCACCTGATAAGCCCAATGCTGAATATGAGCAATTTTATGATGCTCTCTTGTCATTCCACGTCCTATTTGATAACAATTAAGTTATAACAGGGGATTTCAACATAGCTAACTACACTTCGTATGTTAATAGTCATGGTCGCAACGCAAAATTGGTAACGTTGAACAACTTAATCAGTTTAACAACAGTTCAAATTCTATGGACAATACCCTCGATTTAGTTTTCTGTAGTGGTTTGTGTGAAGTTGAACATTCGTGGGATCCGCTGCTAGATGAAGACGCATATCACCCTGCCCTGAATATATGTTGTAATGTCAACAGCAGTTTCAATACTAAGCATAATTTTCCTGTTTCATTTATACATTCTTATAATTTCCGCAAAGCCAACTTCTCCCAATTATATAATTTAATTTTAGTCATGGATTGGGCTGCTTTAGATGGCTTTCATGACGCGAATGAAGCTTATGAGTTCTTTTATAAGAAACTGTATAATGCTTTTGATATCTATGTTCCAAAATATGTCCGAGCAACGAAACGTAAATACCCACCCTTGCTCAATTCAGCAATAATTAAGCTTATCAAACGCAAGGAGAAGAAGAAGAAATTTTGGGACTTTTTAAATTCTAAGCGAAAATCAACAAACATATCAAGTAAGGTGATTTACAATGGTAATGAACTTTTGGAACCGAACGACATATTAAATGCTTTTACGGATAACGTCTCCAAATACTACTCGTCTTCATTAGCCACCGAAGAAACTGATGACTTTTTAATGAACAATATTACTGGATTTGAGGAGGATGAAGTTGTCTTAGCCTTGAAGCAAATTAAACCTAAGATGACTACCGGATCGGATAATGTAACAGCTTTTTGCGTGACTGTGCCTCTGTGTTGGCGCGTCCTTTGACCGTTTTATTCAACTTGTGTCTTACCACCTGCACAATTCAAGAATTATGGAAGTTGTCTAAAGTATGTCCAATACACAAAAATGGCAGTAGGAATGATGTGTTAAATTTTAGACCTATATCAATATTGTGCAATTTTACAGTTCTAGAGATATTACTATTTAGCAGACTATATCATCATGTCAGCAGAAAAATATGTGTTCAGCAACATGGTTTCATGAAAGGGCGCCCAATAGTATCAAATCTGATGAACCTCACACAAACCATAGCAGAAAACATTGACAGAGGATTACAAACAGATGTGATCTAACAGACTTCTCTAAGGCTTTCAACAGAGATGATCACAGGTGCTATTGCATAAGCTGAAATCTCATGGATTATCCCAGTCTTTAATACAACTATTTAAGACCTACCTCACTGGAAGAATTCAATTTGTGATGTTTAATGGCATCAGATCGTCGAAGTATGTAGCCTAGTCCGGAGTGCCACAAGGCAATAATCTAGGGACTTTATTGTTCGTCATATTTGTGAATGACATAGTACAATGCTGTTGGCAAGAATTGTTTACTTTACGCTGATGATCTGAAGATGTTTTGTCGTGTAGCTAATGAATCAGACTTACTGTAGGGTGTTGTAATGAATAAAATAAAATAGAAATACGGCCCAATAATACCACTAGAGGATATGGCGCACCAAACAGTCACCTTTGGACTGTGCAGCTGTTGTTGACGTTTCTTTTTTGGGTTCGTTGGTACCCAATATCTGCAATTTTGCTTGTTCACATAGCCGTATAAGTGAAAATGGATTTTATAAGAATGAAAACCCATTTTTTTATCCTTTATGCCATGAAGTGTTGACCCAGGGATTCCCGAAGAAGCGGAATGCTTCTGTACAGAACGCCGAGGGTTTGCAATGAGCGAATCACTTACTCGACGCACATTTTCTGATACAGTAGGTGTGGGGCCAGCAGGAATGGGTTGACTAAGAGTAGAGCCTGTTCCACGGAACCTCTCAATCCACTTTTTCCATAGGTTCTTACTTGGGGCATCTCTTGGTCGGCGAATTTTGTATCGTGTACAAAATTTCCGAAGGGCAGCTGCGTACGAATCACCACTCCGAAAGTAAGCCTCGATAGCAAAAGCACGTTGCGCTCCAGTCCACCGTTCCATTCTGACTATTTAACCCGCACGCCGAATAGTCTCTACGAGACATTTGGTATTCAATAGCAAACCATAAGAAACAACTGGGACTAAAAAACATATGGTCCATCGGGCAACTTGGAGAATATCAATTAGATCTTTGCTTCAAGGATTCACAGGATCACAGTCTGCAGAGGAAGAGAGTTATATGTATAATTTTATATGTACTAATTCATTTAGCTTCCTTCTTTAATTGTTTTTATCGTTGCGCCATATTGATTTCCTACTCTAAACCATGTTACCCATACACATTAGCTGAGAGCCGATTCTGAAGAGTATTGCTTTATGTTGTTTAATTATACATTTAACAGGCCTCTTCGTTTCATCAAGGTAGTATTTTTAGCAGTCGTATATAGATTTTTTCTGTTATTCATTTTATTGGTTTCGTGCGGTATAGTAGATATTTAAGTGTGTTATCATTTTTTTTTTTTTGTAAAAGCAGGATACGGAAGTGGAAATGTTTCCTTACAAATCCTTATCTTTTGAGGTATCTTATAAAAAACAAAAGACCCTGCATATATGTGTTCTAAGTTCACAGGGTGCCTGAAGCAAAAATTTCTGCTATCTAGTACATTGCTCTACATATTCCAGGTTTTTTCATTTGATTACACAAGTCGACATAATTTTGGTAACATCGATGAGAATACGTATTTTGTATTTCATTTAGGAAGTTATTAAAACGCTTTTTTCCAGCAATGGCCTAGCACGTCCCATTTTCAAGTACCTACTCTTTTTTATAATGCGATCTTTGAAATCATTATTACCTGCCTTAGGACCGAAACGTACAACAAGACCACAGAGGGGTTATTAACTCAGTATTGTACGAACCTGTAAGAGTTTTATTGTTTTCTGCAGTTTAGTTGGTTTCTGTATCATGTAATCAGTAGTCAGTCAAGTGTTTAAGTAGATTTTGATATAAAATGGCGAGTCGTCGATGTGGCAAAAATCCAGCCGATATTTTTTATATTTTAAGTGTCAAATTGGGGACCAAGATAAAAGTTGGGCTCCTCATGTTTGCTGAGTGAGCTGTCACGTAAATTTAGTCCAGTGGATGTATCGCCAGAAAAATTCTATGCCGTTTGCTGTTCCTATGGTATGGAGAGAACATAATGACCATGTTAGCAACAAAATAGGGTATCCAAATTTGCCTTCTGCGCGAAAGCCAGTTCTTCATTTCCAGGACCTACCCGTACCGATAGCGCCTTTAAACCTGGACATCGTGTCTCACGGTGACTCTAATTCTTCATCAGAATCTGATCCACAACTTCCTGCTACCAGTGAACCTCACTTGATAACTCAGAATGAATTAAAGAACTTGGTACGTAACCTAGGATTGTCAAAAATCGTAACTTCTTTGTTCCAGACTTCTACAGTGAATCTTGTTAGATAAAAAAGCAAGTGTTTCATGTTACCGAAAATGGAATGTAACATTATAAAGTTTGTAACATTGATGGTTTAATGAATGAGCTTTGTGTGGCACATGATCCTAGCGAGTGGCGTTTATTCATAGATCCGTCGAAATACAGCCTAAAAGCAGTCCTGCTTCATTATGGAAACAAAAAAACATTAATTTTTTTGCCCATTCAGCGACAATGAAAGAAACCTATGACAACTTAGCAAGCATATTAAATCGTGTTAAATATTAACAGTATCAGTGGGATATCTGTGGAGATTTAAAAGTCACAGGTATATAGTTAGGAATTCAAGGGAATTTTACAAATACAGGTGATTGCTGCTTTGTGTGTGCGTGGGCCAGTAGGACAACAAAAGAACACAAGTGATTATTTTCAAACTCTATTTCCCACGAAAACCGATTGAGCTAAAACAAATAGATAATATAATTAAATCGAATGAGACTCTCTAGTGTGTGTTAGATAGAATAATTTCAGCGTAAACTTGCAGTCGTATATGTCTAAATGTAGCCAAAAATAAATAAAAACTCAACGTAATAAATTTTCGCTCCATATTGTTTATGAAGGAGAAGCATGTTAAAAGTCGCTTCCAACTACAGGGAATTTATGAGTAGCTACTATATTAAACGTAACTACGACATCCGCGTATATTAAAGAAGCACCTTAAGAACATTTGCAGTTGCAGAGATGCACTGGCTCAGCTCTGGGCAAATAATATAGTAAAGCGTGCTTGCTGCAGAACTGGCCCAAGACCGTTTTCGTGATTCCCCGTTCTTATGAGATGCGACGATTTGAGGCAACGCCAAAATGCCACACCGCTGGACCGCTTTACGTTGACTGAGCGTGCTAGTGAAACAAAAATAAGTCGCCTGGTTCCAAAAACCACTAAATCCAGGAAATTTTTCAAGAAAACTAGCCACAGAAAAGCTTACTAGAGTTTTTGTATGCAGAAGCTGATAGATAGTGACATAATGTTACCGACTGATTTCGCGGGAAAATCTTGCTTCAATACTTGCTTTAGAAACTAAAAAAACTCTTTGGATGTAGCTGTTTTTGAAAATGATATCGGATTTAGGGGGTTTTGCTCCAAAATTCACATGCGCTTGCAAAGTTTTCAGTCTGACGACATTAGGTTGAATGCATATGATAAGACTAAAGTACAGTTCTTCATTTATTTTACTTATTATAACTCTAAAAATAACATCAAACGGTATCAGCTTCCTGGACGTCACTTAGCTCTTCCGCTCGTTCATTTTCTTCGTTATCGCTATCACCTTCTTCCAACACCTTCCCAAATCTTGCGACAACTTCCTTGTAATATATGATATTTTCCTTTACAGCAATCTTTTGCCAGTCGGTTCCAAAATGCTTTCTCAGTAGTTGATCCACATCTTTTATCTTCTTCGCATTTAACTCTACTTTATTTAATTCTATTTCTTCTGGGCTGATATTCGAAACTTGCTTGCCTCTTTTACAAATCCCCGATGTATTTTTTATGTCTGAGAAATAACTAGGTTCTCCACGGATGAGGACTGTACCTTCCTTTCTTTTGCCAAGCATGATTCTCTTACACGAATTGATTTTGAGATGTAGAAAAGATGTTGGTTTCATAACCTCGTTAATAGCCTTACGCCAGTTTCAGACTTTCCAATCAACTCCTAACTTTTTCACTCTTCCAAATTTTTCAAATATCATATGGTAGTCATTAACATCGACAATTGTATCTTTCTTTTTCACATTTTTTTCTATCTGTGCAAAAACTCTATCTGGCGGAAGGAACGAATGACCGTTTACTGGAAAAATCAAGTTGACCTTCTGGACATGTTTAGGTGCGTCATCTGCAAGCCACTTGGTACACATTCCAATAATAGTGCTGTTCTTATTTTGACCGGTAAATCCGTCAGAAACAAGTTTTATTTCAGAAACTTCATCTGGAATTTCCAAATTATTTAAAGTATTGTAAACTGCTGAAGCAATTTCGTTAGAACCATTTGACGCTTCAGATTCCAACCAAGTATGCATGAAGACATTCTGTTTGGTCAACTTTGCTTTAGACGATCCGATCACGACTGTGAAGTAATATAAGTAAAGCTGTCTTTTATAATAGGTGATCTGATCTGGAATTTTCGGCAAACCAAATTTTTGCACAATCGTATGAAAGAGTAATTATATGAGCCTCTTCTCTCTTCAATATATCAAAAAAAGATTGTGTAAGTACCACCGTTTTATTTGCAATATTTTTCCCGCTTTATTTTTCCTTTATATTCTATACAACGTGAACAGACATCCACCTGTGGGGCATTGAAACCTATGTTGAATTTTGTGTTGAATATATATCGGAAATACGACTCCTTGCATCATGGCCTGGATATTTAGTATTGTAGAATGTCCACAATTGTTTAATGGATAAATCACTGGAAACGTACTGCCTTTGAGATCTTCCTCTGCAATAGTGTTTCTCTAGTACTGCAAGAGATCTTATAAACTCCATTACAGTTTCCCTAACATTTTGAGACTTGAGGGACCGATGATCGCCCCCACGATTCTCTCTAGGTAAGTGATCCTTATGAAAAAATCGAGAGAGCACACCTTCCTCTCGGTACCGTTTTAACTTTAAAACACCTAGGAATGCTGCCTTGCAAACAGGAATAATTTCTTTTCATTTTTTGCGGATATAGTATGTAGTGGCCATGGTATGTGGTCTGCTTGAAGATTGATTCCGTACTCGTTTAATAGTATCGACTGTAGCACGTTTCGATATAAACTTGTCTTGTGCAACTTTGCTCTGGTTTTTATAAAATGCTTCATGAAATAGTTTAATATCTTCCATTGTGAGACTCCCACATTGAAAAGACTTTGTTATGTGTTTGCAAACAGGGTACTCTGGTAACATTTTCTGATGATACCTAAAGAAAATAGAACACTATAGCTACTGTATACTGTTCTTTAAACGTACGAGGGATGTCTTTTAAGATTTGCATATAGAAACATAGTAGGCCGCGTCGATCGAACGTCAGTACTGAATCTTAACCTCACTCTTTAGTAAACTTAAATTCGAAGTTTCACAACAATACGTGCAGTGTTCTCACTACAGTGAATTTTTGAGTGTCACCAAGTCATTAGAAAAATGGAACTCAACCGGGAACATTTTCGCGCCATAATTTATTACAACTTTCAGAGACAATTATCGCAACACGAATGCCTTGCTGAGTTACTGTCTGTTTTCGGCAACGAAGCGCCATCAGTCGACAATTTCTCGTTGGTATGGAGAATTCAAACGTGGATGGGTGAGTCTTAGTGACGATCCCAGGGTGGGTGCACCAAAAACGGCAGACACCCAGGAAAACGTCGATGCTGTGCGCAAACTCATCATTGAAGATGGACATGTGACATATTGCGAGATTGAGGCGTCCTTGACCTACCCAAGGTGATGCTTTCAGTTACCTTAATCATCTCACCCTCACGCTATAGATATCAAATTGAAGGGCTTAATTACAGAAAGATACCAAGTAACGTCATTTTCATTCCAATATGGCGGCCGCTGCAAAAAGGGCTTGATGAGGGAAACATAATAAACAAAGTGACGTGATCGCAGTCTTACTGATAAAGTAAATGAGAATTATATAGAAATTACCAAACTAGCTAGTTGACATCATAAATACCAAAAAGTAAAAAATGAATAATATAAATCGTGCGATTTGGAAACAAGCTTTTATTTCTTTTCTTTTTCATTTTTGAACTGCCTAAGGTTATTAGAACTGGGAAAAGCTTCCTCTTGTAGATTGTTTCACAATCTCGACACCCTCGGGACCTAGGAGCGGTCGTAACGGCCAGTTCTGGATGTACGAAGTTCGACACGGTTAGGATGGGACGCCAAAGTCAGGCGGGTCTGTCTGGCAGGCACATCGCGCGGCGGCATCATTGAAGAGAGCTATGAGGAGCCCATTGGTGTAGCGATAGAAAAGAGCTGGGTCGCCGACGGCCCGCCGTTGCGAAAGAGTACCGAGACTGTCTGTTAGAGAAGAGTCATCGATCAGTGAGACCGTCCTCCTCTGGACAGCATCGAGCACGGATAATGTAGTCGGGGCGGCAGCACCCCAAACGTGTGAGCAATACTCGATGCTAGGCCTTATCTGGGCCTTGTATAGGAGTGAGAAGGTCAGGCGGAGGAAAGTACTTCTCAGCCCTAAACAAATAGCCTAGCTTTTTCCCCACAGCTGCAGCTATTGACGAGATGTGTTCGTGCCAGATCAGGTCCTCGGTAATCTGGGCTCTGACCAGCCGAAATGAATGGCTCTTTGGCAGAACTCCGCCGTCCATCGAAACTGGATGCGCGCTAGGACGCTTTTTGTTCGTCAAAGAACAGTACGGTGTTTTGGAAGCATTGAGCTGTACAAGATTGTTGCGTCCCCGAGCAATGATAGCCTCCAGGTCTCTTGTCAGAGAAGAAGTCATCGCTAGTCTTCTTTTTCCCAGCTCAGCGGCAGAGATCGGCTTGTCACTCTCAATTCCTGCACGTAGAGAGCTGTCATCAGCGAAGCTATGGATTGGGTTGATCATGCAGGAAAGGAGGTCGTTGATATGTAAGAGAAACAGTGTTGGAGCCAAGACCGATAACTGGGAAACACCCGCGTTGACGTTGTGGGATGAAGAGGAGGACCCATCAATTACGACGGATATCTTGCGGCCAGAGATAAAGTCAACCACCCATCTGCAAAGCTTTTCTGGGAGGCCTTACGATGGGAGTTTGCTTAAGAGGGCAGCGTGCCACAGCTGATCAAACGCTTTCCTGATGTCAAGAGCAACGACATGAGCGTCACCATAAGACTAAATGAGTTTACTCCACCATTGCGTGACGTAAGCTAGGAGGTCCCCTGTGGATAGTTGGTGCCGGAAACCATATTGCCTGTCGCTAATCAAGCTGTGACGTTCGAGGCAGTCCAGGAACTCGCGATTTATACACCTTTCCATCACCTTACTTATAACAGAAAGCAGATCTATAGGCCTGTAGTTATAAGGGTCGGTCTTAGATCCTTTTGTTTCGCTGGGTTGTACGAATTTCTGCTACCACAGCGGGTTCTGACCGAAACCTAACTTCCACAACACCGTGGTCTGAGTTACTCAGGGGGGATAAGACAACATTGCTGTAAGGGACACGATGCGTGGTCAGAAAGAGATCCAGCAGGCTACTGGCGTGTGACGAGACGCGGGGGGGGGGGAAGTAGGGCTCGTCACCAGCTGGGTCAGCCCTTGAGTAAGAGCGACTGCAAGACCTGCTGCATCGGTCTTGTTTGAGCCCAACCAAAGCTCATTATGGGCATTGAAATCACTGAGAAGAACTACATCTGAAGCGGGGTGATCTATGTTCAGGAAGTCGATCTCGACGGCGAGGTATTCGAGTAGGTCATCCCAGTTATGGTCCAAGGGAGAGCGATAAAGGCAGCAAATAAATTTGCGTGATGGCTTGGAGTTGAGGCGAAGCCACAGAATGTTCTTCCGGTCTGATTCCAAAGAAACATCTCTGGAGCAGGAAAGACTTCTGCGGACAAAAGCCAGCTCTTAGTAAGCTGTTTATAGGTCTACACTTCATCTCAAGCGTGTTTTGACAGCAGGATCGAAAAGGTGTCTAACATCATCGGTTAAATATTTCCAATCGGAAAAAAATATTTGAAAATTGTTAGCTCATTTTATAAAGCTTCTATTAAGATGAATATTTTTATTTTATATATTAAGCATCCATAATGTGTCATAAGCTGCTTCTACGTTAACGCGACGAAACATAAAGACAGTATTATCAGAAACATTCAGGAGCATGTCCATGTTGAAATGTCAATTAACTACGCATAATGTTTCCATATCGTTATAATGAAGTTGTATATATATATACAGGGTGTCCGCAAAGTTGGGGTTTTCCTTTTCAGAAACAACTACCCTTGAAATAACAAAGGTAATGTGTAGTGAAACGAGGGCGGCCAAGTAAAAAAAATAAAGGAAAAAGTACTCACTCTCCAGTTGACGAGAAGTGCTAAGTACGTCTCTGCCCGAAATCATACCGCTCCAACAGAAAATGAAATCAGCTGAAGCGCTACCGAGCAGACGCAGAAACCACATTGATTGTCTTACACTTAATGGCACATCTTCTAACAAGGAAGGCAAAATGTTGCGGAAAAAGTCTAGGTATTGCATCCCGTCCAATCGATTTGGGAGAATAAATGGTCCAATGAGCATACCGTTCACCATGCCAGCCCAAACATTCACCGAACATGTTTGTTGAAAATGTGACCGACGGATAGCGTGCGGATTTTCTACTGACCAAACATGAGTGTTGCGAAAGTTATTCACCCCATTACGCGTGAACGTAGATTCGTCTGTCACCAATATGCACTTCTAAAAGTCCGGATTATTGTCATGTTGATGCAACAACCACTCACAAAACAGCACTCTTGCTGGAAAATCGTCAGGTTGAAGGGCTTGTACACGTTGGACGTGAAACGGATACAGCCCCTCTTCACGCAGCGTTTGCCGAACTTTAGTTTTTGATACTTGCACTTCTCTAGCCACGTCTCTAGTGCTTGTTGAGGGATTCTCGTCTACGCAATTACCTCTACATGCGTGACCGTAACCATCGGTTGAAGGTTGCATACTGACCTGACACACTGACCCCGACCCAGTTCTGCCGTCGGGTTGAGACCTTGTACCAATCGGTGATGTCCCGGGTCGCGGCTACAGGACGGTATTAAGATATTTTTGATCTTGCAGAGCCCTTTATCCCGGTTCCCTTAAGACATTGGTGTATATGGTACTAAGAAAAATTGCTTATGTTTCCAAGATCTACACATCGTGTAAAGGAAAACCCCAACTTTGCGGACACCCTGTATATATACAACTTCAAGCATAATGATATATTATCTATAAAGATTTTGTTGATACATTTGTATATTATGATATATATATACAGGGTGACTTTGAAGTTGAGTCATTAATTTTCAGATAATGATTGTAGAAGGAAGATAAACCAAAATATGTGTGTAAAAATAAAAAAAAATAAAAAAAATTTTTACCTTGTTTTATAAAGTATCCTCCCGACAAGTATTTCAGTGCGGACCTGTATTTGATCGTGAGGTCCCCTGTGAGGTCTGAAGTCACCTGATTCACGAGCCCGTTGTACTACATTAACAAAGGTACGAGGGGTTGGTTGCACTCGAATGGGAAACCGATCCGCATAAACATGTGCCATTTTTTATTTCGTTTGAGCCACGCAACAGATACTATTCACACGCGACTGACACTGATTGTATGTATAACTGAACTGAATAAAATAAACATCGTTCCAAATTCTTTCGCTTTTTTGTTTCCGATGCGATGAACCGATAAGGTGGATTATATCCGTTGTTGCCAAACACGAGTACATGATATTATTGAGACAGGGCGGTACTCAAACTTCCAAAGGGCTATAACTTTGTTACTTTAATTTTACCAGAAAAATGGTAAAGGAAAAAACATTTCTTTTGATCAGATCTACTCACTGTTAAAATAAATGACTCAACTTCGAAGTCTGTATATATATATATTTAGGAGAATTCATACATGAATCCCAACTATGCTTGGAATCTGTCAAATATGCACATCATGTTATGCACATACAACTAGATGCATGCCGCACATATTATTGGATGTTCACGAAAAAAGTGGAGTCTTTTAGCTTATCTACATTCGTATATTGATTATCAGACTTTTGCCGTACACGCCTAATTGAATTTTGAATCAGAAACACTGCTGTGAATAGGTGATACAACATAGACTATAACACAAAGCCGTGATTAAATTTGAAGTGGAATCGAGACTAGAGGTGGCAGCATTTTATGTAATAGCGCCTCCATTTATGATTCCTACAACAAAAGCTAGTCGTATCAAGGAAATGGATTTTGTGGAGTGTCTTCAGAATCTTCTGAAGCCGACCGCAAATTGGTTACCAAGTTTGTCGTTAATCATCAAAATACGTGAAATTTGACTAGTTTTCCACATATCATATCAGTATGCGATGTAATCAAAGCTTTTCGGTCGGCTTTTTGCCTATTGCTGGTTTACAAAAAAAAACAGACGCACTTGGTGTGGCGATTAGCTCCGAGATGGATTGACATTTTGACAAAATGACATAAAATACTTAGAAAATGCTACATTTTTTCATCTAGCTTGTTCAGTTCTTTTTATGATTTTTGGTAGTTATGTCAAAAACTCATACGAAATAAGTATATAATGTCGTCTTCAGCATAGCCGGTCTAGATAACTGAGGTTAGACAAAATTAAAATATCAAGCTGGCATTCTTATTTTGCTACTAAACTAAGTCTTGTAATATTCCGCGTACACTTCTAAAAATTGAATAGCTATGAGATAATTTACAGGCTTTCTACTAGATGGAGAGAACGCTCGCAAAAAGTGCGATTTCTAATTTTATTGGGTGAAAACTATATTTTGCAGGCTGCAAACGTATGATAAATATCCTCGTCGTGAATAAATGTCCAAACAAAACTAAGTTTTAATGAAAATTGTTCTCACGACAAGTGATGGACAAGAATTAATCCATTAAGAAGGAGCAGCACATGTGTAGACATCACCGCCATGTTTTGGGTTACATCTCTCATCTCGCTCTAATTCATTCGCCTTATCTAACTGTCTACTCTTGATAACTACCCATTGGCTACAGTTTGTGATAAGTTACTTTCAATTCAAAGCTTTGTATCATGCCTTTCTCCTGCCTCTTCATCATGAACCCCTAAAACAGAACTGGTACTGAGAAAAATAGTGTATAACGTTATTGTGTGACGAATCTCGGTGTGGTAGTGATGAATGATGGACAGGCATAAGTCAGAAGGTATATCCAGGAAATACTGGAGCTCAATCTTTGCCGTTTTTTCAAATTCTATTTTCTGGCAATAACTTCCAAGTCAACCTCTATTCATGGCCTCCCAGATCTCGAGACCTTTTGCCCATTATTAAGGCGATCCAGTAGTACTGCAAATATTTTCAAAGTTTGATCACTACTTTCTCCTGCTTATGTCTAACTGTATACAAAATTTTGTTTTGATAAAAACTTTTTTACTGTGTGTTGTATCTTCTTTGCGACTGAGTGTACTTATTGATATATCAATGTTTCTTAATTCAATATCAGGATAAAAAGGCACATAAAAATATAGAGGGTTTAATTAAAAAATTTTTTTAATTCGAAAGCTAGGAATTTTATAGAATCTGAGCATGAAGAAGTCATATAGTACAGAATTAAAACAAAAAATAGTCTAGGAAGAAAAATCGGTATCCACGAAAATCACTGTATACATATTCAAAAAGGCGGGACAGAATACCTTCCCGTGTAGCCTTTTAGTACAAATGATTCTTCTCTATAATTTTCTAGCTTCTAATACCTGTGATGTCTGACAGCATCACAATGCGAACACCCGTACATGAGCCCAGTATGGCCGCAAGGCCTGGAAGCCTGTGGGGCTGGTACTATGGTACATGAGGGAGGAGCCGGGGCTGGTACTATGGTACACGAGGGAGGAGCTGACGGGTACGGCACAGCTCCAGGCACATAGCTGGGTCCAGGAGGTCCAGGCATTGGAGGACCAGGGTAGAACGAGCCAGGAGGCATGCAGTGGCAGCGCTTCGCTTCTCCTGGGTGAGATGGTGGGCCACAGTTACACTTAAAACAGAAATATGCGGATTGGTACTTTTCATTTATGGAGGAGGTATTAGTATAAGCTGAAAAAGGTGAAAGTGATACGTGATACTCGTAGCTTCAATTAATGGTGAATGTGTTCCCCAATGCTATTGACTCGTCTCGTTGAAGCTTGCGTACACGTATTAGTTTTCCTTTCAATCGTTTTCAAGCAAATATCACAAGTATAACGTTAATAGTATAACCTAGAATAGAAAGTCCGAGTTCTTATAAAAGACGGGGCTTTCTTACGGAGAGTCAAGCTCACATTTGTAGACGTCTCTGAGGATTGAGTTTCGTTTGAGGGATGATCTATCTCTCCTTGGATGATAAACAAACAAGAAAACGAGAACGCGTCTCTGAGGGACGTGCACGGGCGGACCTAACATTTACATTTCACAGTAGGCTTCAACAGTTGCCTTCACAGATTTTCAAATCTTCGAAAATTGACAAAATATGCAATATTTTGAAAATCACCAAATTCTCTGAATTTTCAAAATGTTAAACTTCCAAAATTATCAACATTTTCAAAATGTTGAAATTTTTGAAAGTTCTGGAATTTTCTAAAATTTTAAAAATTTTTAAGTTTTAATAATTCTTATAATTTAAATATTCTTAATATTTCGGTAGTCTTGAAGACTTTTAAAATAGGAATCAGATACACTTCAAAAATGTTAAAGCTGTTGAATACCTGTGATGACAAACTGTCCCGAAATACAAATGATAAATCGGACCTTGAACGTTCGTCAACGGAGCGTTATTGTTTGTTTAACATCCAAGGTTATTTCTCAGTCGGCACTCAATTCTCAAGGAACATCCATGGCATCCTAAGGCTCCTTAAAGACACCACTGGCTGTCATTAAATGACTTTGGAATGACTGTATCGTTCAATGATTTTAACAACACAGTAGGCAGCTGTATCTTAACGTAAAAGTACTTAGGCAAAACAACTCATTTAGGTCATCAGACCTAACTTTTTCGGGTCCCTGATCATAAATCAATTTTCAGAACTGCTATCTTCCCAAAATGGCAGAACCCCTTCACTACATCCAGTATCAAACCTGGCAGGACTAGTGAAACGAGGGTGTTTTACTTTCTACGCCCACTGACTAGGAACTATTGTAAAGGTGAAAGGTCTATGAAATTAGATACATATTTGGATGTTAGATGACATATAGATGACGGAATACTATGACACTCATTTCTATCGGTCTGTCCGTAAGTCCTTGGTACGTCTTTAGGTTGGAAAGTACTGCTCGATTTGGATAAATTTTTCACACATTATACACTGTACATACTATCTCTATGTTATGAACGTATCTCAAATTTGATTATCTCTTATCAGTACTTATCACGACTGAATCCTGTATGAATTGTAGATATTGAGAATTGAAGATTGTTCTATAAGGATAGGTACTACACGAGCTTATTACTATGCCAAGGATGAAAAAAATTTGTAGCTTTCAGAAATCGGTACAGTGGTAATGGACAAAAACGCCAAAAACGAAGAAATAAAAATCAGTCAAACTTTTGACGTTTGAGTTGATCCTGATCATTATTTATACGTTCTTTAGGGGTGAAAAATAAGGGACTCATGTGTATGGCATTTTCTGATGTTAGTATATTAATACACTTTCAACCCCGGAAGTTTTACGTACTTATTAGACATGTTTCAGACATCATATATTTCCCCGTAAATTTGGTCTTAAAAAATTTTCACTAGATGGACCCAATACCTATCGGTCGTACGCCACGATGTTATAAGTATTGCATCTTTGGTATTCTAACCGAGTGACTTATAAAAGCAGATGACGCGGTGGCGCGATATGCACATACGAGGTGGGCCTTATCTTTAGATTCGAGCATTACGCTTGGAGTGTAATTTCATGACGTTACTTGCTTTCATGAGGTTATATTATATAGAATAGTATATACAGTATATGAGTACGTATGACTAGCTATTAAAATCAGTTATCAAACACCGTTGACAAATAGTTTATTTTACACCAGTGCTCCAAATAAGTGAAATTACCGTGTACGAACACCCTTAATGCTACAATCTGAAGATTTTTTTTCACAAAGAGCCTAAATATTGCACTAATGGTCCTAATAAGGCCTACGCCTTTTTCATTTCATTTCACTACATGGAAAATTCTACTAGAAGTTGTTTCGAAGAGGTGGGAAGTATAAAGTCAATCTACTTGACGCCATTTTTTCTGTTCATTTTATCGTTATCAAACGGAAGTACGTTTTGCTAAGGTTTTCCGAAAAATGTCGTTTCTGAGCCATGATTGTACGGGATGTAAGAAAATTGTCAATATTTCATTTGGGCTAGTCCGTCCCTAACGAGTGACTTATTATTTTCTATTGGCACTGTTATGTGAGGCCTCAATTGATTACTGAAATTTGAAAATATCCATGTCGCCACTTTATTCTCGGACACCCATTATAAAGCTTTGTAATATAGCTCAGGGACGAGACGCTTTGATGAAAGCTTGAACTTTTTACGTTTATTACGTCTTGGTATTTTTTGGTTTCCCGCCCACTTCATACTCTTAAAAAGTTTTTTTGAGAAAAATTTCAGATAAGCTCATAATTTTCGGCTTTGTTCTTGTGTGCATCTTGTTTTATACCACTGCTGGTTTTGCTGCTCGTTTTGTCATTTTTGTGTGATAATTCCCGGCACTGTTGTACAGAAAATGAAGTTGAATCTAAGTCTAAGTGAAAATACATACCTGCGTAGGTCCCGGTCCATATCCAGGTGCTGGGCAATATTGGGATCCAGGTGGACCATTCCAGCTCATTGTTGCTATAATATACGAACAGCCGATTACACACTGTAGATATTTTCAACTCTACCAGGTTATAAATGTGTGACAAAACTGATTATCTCTTATCAGTAGTTATCACGACATGTATCATCGCTATTGAGAATTGAAGATTGTTCGATAACGATAGATACTATTTTCCACAGGTGACTCAGTGTTTTTAGAAATACGAGTAATACTGTTTGTTGTTGGCTCAGGTGGATAAATCTTATGATTGTTTTGAACTGATCACACCACGGGTTAATCCGTTGTTGATGCATATCTATACTTTTTAAGTTGAATGCCTTATTCAAAAACAATTCTTTTGAATTGTTACTTCTTGAGAAAAAATAAGGGCAATTACAGTGGAGTTGTTGTAAGCAGGTTACCTCGGATCTGCAATTGATGTCGGATGACGTCCCTGCTTCCTTCAATTACTTGACTTTTCACTTATTAAATCAGGAGAAACTGGGAGACTAGGACACCTTCTGTTATCTTTCTATTTCTTAAGTGCTACAGTACCATAGTTGCCAAATGCAACGTGGAATCTTATGTAATAGGATACATAGAACGAAACAGTTTTACAATATAAATAAATTAAATAAAGTCCCAAACAGAAACAATAAAAATGCAGTTTTGAAAAATTCAAACGAAACTTTTTTTTATACTCAAGCTACCACGAAGGCCTAAGGCCTAAACACCCATGGGTACCGTGGAGCTAAAGGAGGATACAGGGGAATTGGTGGGGGGACGCCACACGGACTCTATCGAGGGAACACGTGTGCATGCAGCATGCACACATTCTGGCCCCGCCTACAAGATCCGCCGGGTGGTACCTACGCGTACGACAGACACAGACCGTCTACCACCTACGGACAATCACAACATTCATAGCCAAGAGAAAAGCTTGTGACTTGTAAAGAGCTGTCCTAGATTTTGCGCATTTTTTCTACGACCTGGCCTAGATACATTATATTGTGCATGTGGAGATAATTTATGGATCATTTTGTAATGGAAAAATATATCAGAATCGTGCAACCATTCTCTTTTTTTTTATGAACATTGCGATAGAATAGAAAATGTTCATTCAGATCGAGCATTATTCCCACTTGGATAATACGCACGTTAGCAATATATCCTTTTAACGAGATCTGCCATAATATGTCATACGGCGAGGGAAAATGGAATAGTCAGAAACACGTTTTTTTATGTTCACGTCATTTCTTGCAACGCGCATGTCTGTCGGCTTACGGAATCATGCAATCTAGCCCCAGACATATTTTTGGGGTTTTCTCAACGATGTCCAAACAATCCGCAGACAATTTCTGACCTGAAGCAAGACATGGCAAGACATGTCTCAAGCTAGAATTGAAGTTGAGCCGTAATTGTGGCAGAAGGCTATAATCTGTTGGAACAGTATGTCGCATTTTCCAAAAATGTTGTTTTTATGTTCCAAGCTGCCTTAATTATGTGCTGCGTAAATTCATGTACACCTTATTGATTTTGCCTTAATTTGCGAAAAAGTATTATACAATGCTTGAACGTTTATCAATTTTAACATCCCGTCTTCGTGTTTCTCTGATAGACGGAACTGTTGTTAAGATAAATGTAATCAAAGGCTTACATGTTTTTTTAGTAGCGTAAAATGATGGATTCATCACGTTAAGATGTAGCTTCCGTCAGTTCTTGTTTTTAAGAGACACCTGCTCGCTTATCAATTTTGTCATCAGTCAATCGTTATGGGCAAATTTTTATGCAAAAATTTAAATCCCAGAGAAACTTTTTATAATAATGATCAATTATCAATGTAAATGCCATTTCAAGGAATATGAAACTTCAACTCAATTCAAGCAAGATTTCTTTATGCCTAAAAGTATGAGCATGTTGGTATATTTCACTCCATTACGTTCTTGACATATGTATAGTTGAAAAAATATCAATATTAGTATCTCAACAAAAGTTTTATTTTTCTTCTTATATTCACTTTTCAAACTTCAACGACTTCCTTCACAATGGGTACATCCATACATGATCCCAGTGTGTCCACATGGTCTTGGTCCTGTAGTAGGGTACGCTGGCGGATATGATGAAGGATAAGTAGGGTACGAATCTGGTGATATTGGTGGTGGAGCACTTGGCTCATAAGCTGGCACTGGAGGAGGCGGGTAATGTTGAGACATTCCTGTAAATAGGAACTTATTAGGTACTTAGAAATTACTATACTAGCAGAATACGGCATCATCTTCATTATTTGTGGCTGTATTGTATTTTGAAGCCAAGGAGAGAAAGAGGAATTAAAGGGAGAGATGGATATAGGTTATCCTAAGCAGATGTAATGCTTTTTACCCTACTCACTCGCGTATCATTTTACGGCAGTAGTTCATTGGTTCTGGTATTAAATAAAAACGTCGTCTTGTTTAATTTAACTCTTTGTACTTAGCAATGAGGATTAAGAGATATTTAATACAGTTTGACAGCACATGACAACATGGCCAGAACGTACCGGTGTTCCTCAGAGCTTCGTCCTAGGAACAATTATTTACTCACTGTTTATTCACGACGTCTCTTGCCCCAGCAAGAAGACTACGCTAACTGATTAAAATTCGACAACGCAGGCTATTTATTGTACCAAAAAATATGGAGACTCCCCAGCCGAGGTTTCGGTAGACTGATGACGTATACCATGGAAAAATCTGCTAAGTAACTTGGGGTCACCCTTGATTAAGGCCCGTATCGTCAGTCGTCCCTACAATTGTAGGGCGCGTTTATGGCCTCCTTGATTGTTATATTCCTTTCTCTCCTGCAAAAACTTCTAGATTACACTTGTCCCGTGTCAGCGTCAGCGCTCTCCTATTGTGAAGATATGTTTTCTTTTTAAATTGTAGGAAATTGCAGGCTGATAAAACATGATATAACTCAAAAGCAAGCACAATTTAATGCAAATAGATGTTTGTGCCATAACCTCAAAAGTAGAGCGCTGACACGGAGAAGTAGAAAAACTATGACAATCAAGGAGGCCATAAAGGCGCCCTACAATTGTAGGAACGACTGACGATACGGGCCTAAAGTATAACCTGACGGCAGCGTTGACAACAAAAGTCTAAATTACGTTTAGGCAAGTGTATCCTTCGTTATGCAGATCCTACAAATTGAGTTTGATAAACAAAGTTTGACTATATAAAATCAATATTAGACCAGCATTACATATGCATGTACGGCTTGGTGTTTTCTTGCCAAGATACACATGCAAAATCTTCTACTGCAAAGTAGAACTTTACCAACAATTTGCAAGATATGTCTCATACGAGACACTACACAGAGACCTTTATATTCCTTTTTTAAAGGGTTATGTCAAGCTTCAGGCGCAGAGACGTTGTAGTCAAGTGTTGCGTGACTCAGTGGGCGACACAGTGGAGCAACTTAGTAAACAGTCAATGCTAAGGCCCGCACTGTGGTCAAAAACTTAGTAAATTCCAAATTACAGTCTAACAAAACCCGAATCTTAACTTGTTTTCTAGTTTACCTCAAAATCAATCCGTATACCAAGGCAAAAAGCCTAGGTGTTTCCTCTTAAGCTCATACACTTCTGTTTTTCTTTGCTCATATGTTTACATTTCATCATAACAAATTTTGACTTGACTGGTTCAAAAAGTGGTAGGACGAGGCTTTTTTTAAAATTACTGTAGGTTCATTACTTTTATTTGGTGAGTATCTCTGGGTTCTAAGTTAAAATAACAAATATATGTTACTCAAACCGCTGCAACAAGTAAAGTGCTACAAAATACACTCAATAATTGCCTCTAGCCATTTCCACTTTGAAGGTTGCCAATGTCTTTTTTATAGTGAATTTGAAGTGTTGCGCCCACGCGCTTATATAAAAATACATAGTTGAGTATCCCAAAGTTCTATCAAGTACTAAAATGAAAATGAAAATGATGATAAAAATTCAGAATACATCTGTTCTAAAATATTTAGGTACGAAAAATTTCATAGTTGCATAGTCAATTTGGGATTTCAGTTATCTTCAGTGCCGAACATCCCTGCTTATGGTCCTTCTCGTGAGATGTGAGCACCAGAGTGCCATTCAATTATCTGTGTTCTTTGAAAACTGCTGTAACGTGCCAAAATCACAAAAAATCCTGATGTGAACAGGTAAAATATTATTTTAATTAACGATTTCATAGATATGTATACATATGTTGATTATTGCTGACTGAAATTCTTAGAGTGTTCTTGATTTCGTTTTGCATTTTATGTATTCAGATATGGAGCAGTGAATACGTGACACCTTCTATTGGGCATTACATTACATTGATCGTGATTTTGATTTTTAAGCTGCCATAACCTTATTTCAGAACAAGCGATACATTTCTGAGAGTATATCACTTTAGTACATTTTTATCTTTTCTTGCCTTTGCTTTACTTTTCTTGTAAAAGAAATGTACATGGTTTTTCTTCAAGTTTGAGTGTTTTCAATGAGTAGCTTTCTCTCTCTAGGTTTTTTTTTATACCGTAAATTTGGGGAACGAGGCAAGTAGCCTTGTGACGTGCCCACTATTGGCCACCGTTTTTTTTACCTGAGCATTTGTGCGCTGAGAACATCTCGGCTGCGCCTGGAGCTGTAACTAGAAGAAGATCTCAATACAGATAAGTTTAGGTTTAGGCGCTAAAATATCTATACATGCACGTGGCCCGATCGCTTAAAAGAAAGAACTTACTGCTGAAGGTTAAAAGTCCTTAAGAAAATGGATGTGCTAGCACCCAAATCAAAACATGCGGTACCAAATAAAAAGATGTACTACTCCATAAACTGGTGTTTGGGTGTCTAATATCCCAGAATCTGGAAGCTAACGAAACGACGCCCACACCACAATGTCAGCAGGAAAGTAAAAATGACGCAGAAGAGGCCTTGAAGAAGGTTTGTTCGATAGGAAACCAAAAGGAACGGAGAACAACCGGTAAAGAAGCTATCTTGATAGGTAAAGAAGGTATCTCGATAGGAAACCAAATATTCATATACAGGCTATTACGTACACAAACCACAGAGTCACACTGGTAGGCGGAACCAACTTTACGAGGGACCAATAATATTTTATGTAGAAATTTCTACGATAGTCATTAATAAAATACTATAACATTAGTGTCCAAAAGATTTCAACACAATACTGAATCGATAAGAAGGAAAGATATAATACATGTGAAATTACGTAGTCGTGCCATAAGTTCTGTCCCATGATAATCTCATGATAAAAATGAAACAAGATAAGATATATTTATATGAAAGATATTATTTATTCGACAACATTTTTAGAATTCATAATCAAACAGTTTTATTCAAAATGTCCCCCCTTGGCCTTCACACACTGCTTCAATCTCGCGGGCCACGCATCTATCACTGCACGCACAGCTTCCAAAGGAATAGCTGCCGCTGATCGGATCAAATCCGCTTTCAGGGACTCGATATTACGGTGGGCTTTGGAGCAGGCCAACTGCTCTAGCAGGTCCCACAACTTGTAGTCTAAAGGATTGAGGTCCGGACTCCCTGAGGGCCAATCTTCCGCAGCAATGAACTCTGGCACATTGCTTTCCAGCCAGCGCTGCGTACTCTTAGCCTTGTGAGCGGGGGCGGAATCCTGCTGGTAGACCCAGTGTTGGTTGGCAAACAATGTACCACTTAAAGGCTTGACGATAGGATCCAGTATGTCGCTCTGATAGTTTGCCGCTTTTGTTTTCACGCCCTGTTTACAGAAATGGAGCTGAGTGACCCCTTCGTAGGACACCCCCCACCAAACCATGACTGACGCAGGGTGGTGGCCTCTCTCAACTCTCGGAATGATCTCCGAAGCTTCCTGTGAACTCCTTGCATACACTTTGTCATTTTGTCGGTTGAATTTTTCTTCTATGGTGAAGATTTTCTCATCCGTGAACAAAATCTTTCGGAATCCCCCAGCTGCGTACCTCTCCAAGAGCTTCTTGGATCTTGTCGCCCTGATGTGTCGCAAGGTGGCCGTAAGTCGCTGGCCCGTACGTCTCCGGTAAGCCCCTAGCCCTAGGTCTTGTTTAATGATGCGCGACATCGTCCGGACAGGAATCTTCATTTCCCTGGATAGGATCTTCTGCTTCCGGAGTGGATTCCTTTGAATCCTGGCTTTTACGGCTATGATGGCTGCTGGAGTCCTTATTTGACGAGGTCTTCCGCTTCTTGGCCTGTCATCAACAGAGGACGTCTCACTGTACCGCTGAATGGTCCTAGACACAAATTTACGCGATATTTGAAGGCCGCGTAAGAGTTCAAAAATCTGACTAGCACTGTGATTACACTTATGTAAAGCTATCACTGCAATACGGTTCTCTGCCTTGCCCCACTCCATCGTTATGCTTCGAGAGATCAATACAAACTGAGGTATATGTAATTACCCGAAAACCGCTTAATCAACTGACACCACAATGTAAACAATCGGACTAGTATTAACAGGTCTACACTTGTTTGAAAACGAGGGACAGAACTTATGGCATGACTATGTATACAATCAATAAACTATGATATTTGCCAAAAGAAAATCATTGAAAAGGGTTTGGCCTAGGAATTCGCACTCTACTATTAATAAAGAGGAATTTAAATCACTGGTTAATGATCAAAACAGTAAAAAATATTACGTGATTTTGGTACGATACACTGCCAGTTGAGTAACCTGGTAGAATATTAGATTTCAATGTAGGGTGCTTTATGTTTTTTTACGTACTTTCACAGTAACTACAGTTGTACACTACACCACTATGTCTACAAGGCCTTGGAGGATAAATAGTATTGTACCTCTCACACCTTTTACAGCCATACATGGTGCCTGTATGACCACAAGATCTTGGCGGATATTTCACCATTTTTTTACTATTCGAAGCGAATAACAACAATATTTGTACGAACTATGCACAATAAAGTTAGTTGAGTATTTAGTTTTATACAGTAAATTATAAAATTGTGTTTCAGCTATCTTATCTCTCTATACTTAAATGAAGTGCATTGTTTAGTACTTGTTTGATAGCGGCAAATAATGGAACTTAATATGCAGAAAACTGTTTTGCTGTTCCTAAAAATCACCCTTTGGTCAAATTAATGGAACTACGAGTAATAAAACAATCCTGGAACTCTAAGAACGTGGATTTTTTAAATTAGAGTAGGAGTAATAGCTTGAGAAGTACCAGAAACAGTAGCAACTCCAATATACTTGTGACGATCTTAAAAATTACTAGCTGAATCCCAAAAAAACACAAATGCAATTCATTGGTTGCATTTTTAGGAACAATTAAGCTCTACTCAATCAAATTTGTTGCCTTGATTAAGTTTTCTGACATGTTATATCTTCTCTTTAGTAATGAATGTAGAGGCTTGTCACTACAAGCTAGCAAACGAGTTCATAGTGAGACCCAAGCAAGTACTTGAAGGTTATAGGTATCGAGTGAGACTACTAAAAATTATAAACATCTGTAGCTTTCGAAATAGCAAGAAGGACCCGTCTATCCCATGTGCTGAAGGGAACACAATCGGTCCACTTCTCAATCCAAACCCCAAACTTTATTCAGCAGATTTTCTTAGACAACAGGTTCGAGCCACAAATATTTAATTGTTAATCGTGCCACATTCCACAACATTCACTGCCACTAAAAATTGACACATTCATGATCTTCTAATTGGTGCTATACAAACTGCTATATTTTTTCGAATGAAAAGACAAACAACAATCTTGAGCATGCCTGCAATAAAGGAACAGGAGCAGAAATAGAAGAATTGGTAACTCTGCTTATTGGCTTCATCGGGCCCAAGTGGAGGTGCATTAAAAATACCGAAGTGAAAACGTATACCCATCACATCTGGATCCAAGTGTAACCTAAAGTAACACGAGCATTCTTATTTTGGCTATTCTCCGTGGCGACGTTAGTTGAAGCCTTGTAAACCCGAGGTCTCTGACCAAAGCCATAAAAGTGCCTGCTGGCTCTTGTTAGTAGCTTCTAGTTGTATTTCCCTTTCCGTCCTTGCTTTCCTTTGGCTTACACCTGGATTCGGATGTGATGGGCATATGTTTTCGCTCCGGTGTTTTCGATATTTGGGCCTGATGAGTCCAGTAAGCAAAAACGTACGTCGCTTGGCTTTCCAATCCTTCTATTCCTGCTGCTGTCCTTTATGGCGGATATGCCCAAAACTCATCTGTTCTTTTTTTTCGGAATAGGGGTTAATTGATTATTCAGGTATAAGCTTTTCTTGATCTACAAAGAAAATACATACCTTCACAATGTTCGCAGCCGAAAGTAGGTCCCATATGTCCGCAAGGCCTTGGTGGAAACATTTGCCTCACTCTTTCGCAATGTTCACAACCGTACATTATACCAGTATGCCCACAGGGACGTGGTGGGTAGCTATAGCTGCTCATCTCACTAGAAGTCACCCTAACTCCAAATAGCCAGGTATATTATGTACCTTGTATGGAACAATGGGTGTAAATTGTTGCAGGTATAGACTGATATTAATTTGTTAATTCACTTTCTGTTATCTTATCACATGTGTGGTCGTAAATATTAATTATGGTGTTTGTTTGTTGACACGTTTGGAGCTTTAAAATATCGTTGATGGTCGTGATATTATTTTTTTGTAGGTAAGGCAGAAATAAGGTATTGAGCACACACAATGCTTTCCAGAAGGCTGCCTTACTTAGTCCTTGTATGGATGAAGTTAACAAACTGAAAGATGAAATTGACGCATTGGTACTCTATTTTAACGTAAAAAACTTATCAGTTCCAGAATTGCGCCCGGTAGCTCCGAAATTTTCAACACTTTTACGCTAAAACAGCATTTATGCATCAATTGTATTGCCCCAATTTCAGCTTTCTAACTTGACCCGTATGTAGTAGTGGAAGGAGATTTTTTAAAAACACAGTGTCAAAATGTGGCATCGACTTAAAACAACTTTTGCGATTCAATTGTTGAGAATCGCGAATCTACAGAACAGTGAAAATATTGAGGTATGCTCTAGAATTTCATGGATATCAAATATTTACAAAACTCGCTCGATAGTTTCAAAAAACTATCTTTATGAGGATAAAAAGTTTTTCAACTCGACCTTTAACAACAGTAACCGAAATTGGATGCAAACATAGAATTTGAAAGAGTTCGGAATAGACGTACAAAATTGCATCAGTCAACACAAAAATGGAAAGTCAAAGTCCGCCACGAATGTACAAGTGCCATTTTTGATCTAAGAACATTGCTCTACCACGCCCATGTGAGTAACAGACTTCATTAGGGTGTGTGCTTCTGGGATATGAAAACAAATTCACAAGATGTTTTTGTACCCAAAAAACAGGGTAGTTAGGTGTTTGGTAGGATTACCTGACACAAAGTCTTGTAAAGAGGTTTTTAAAAATCTTAGTCTTCTAACCCTTCAACGGCCTATTCATTTTAGAGATGTATGTTTTCAAAAATATTGATAAACCATCAAGTGTTAGTGATGTCCATGGTATAAGTATATACGCGACATTATTTATAAGTACCATATAGGAAATTTAAAATTGGCATGTACGCCCCTGATTTACTAGGTATGAAGCTGACCAACACATTACCTCGAAGTGCTAAGTCGATCGTGAATTTTAATTTGTTTGTCCCTCAAAAATTTTCAGTTGGTCCATGTAATGTAGTATCATGAGTTTATGTATATTATTTTTACTTTTTTATATTATTGCCTTTAATATGCATATTCCATTTTTACCTTCCTGTAGGTGTTATGAATTCGTTTTTTCATCCTTCACCATCCCGATACGATTTGTTGTAAATTGCCTTGTGGTGAATATAAATAATTATTATTATTACTATTATTATTATTATCATTACTATTATTAACTCACATCTTGCCACAAGACGTCCGTTCAACCTCAGACACTCTTAGCCGGTCTCTTATCACGCCGCCGTTACGTTTCACGTCTCTGCCGGTCGCTAAAACCCACCTATTGTGAAGTGCGCCCCAGTAGTTCGGTTTTTAAGCGCAAAACAAGTGTTTTCTGTTGAACTTCACCAGCAGCTTATTGAAACTTAGGTGCGCTATTCAGAACCCCCAGCGGTGCCTACTCTCTAGTGTCGTTCTGCTTCACGGTAATGCTCGGCCTCACAGACGCAACTGTACAAATTTCGTTGGAAATCACTGAATCAGCCCCCATACAGCCCTGACTTGGCACTATCAGACTTTCATATTTTCTGCATAATTTAAAGAATTTCTTGATTGAAAACTTTTAGAAAATTATGGCATGCTGAAAGAAACAGTTACTAACTGGTTTGACTAACATTTGGCAGCAAACTTTGATGATGGAATCCAAAAGCTGGTGTCACAACTTGACAAATGCTTAAATATTTATGGTGACTTGTTGAAAAGTGGAGAAATGTCCATACTTTAAATTGTAATACAATTTACGTTTGTGAATAAAGCTTTTCTGACTCCGTTACAAAGCAGTTCTTACTCAAAAAGTGACCCTCATATAGATCGAAATTGGAAATTCCAATTTTTTCATAAACAGGTTTTGTCCTGTTTTTTTTATATCGAAACAGCCGCGCAGGCAGAAGCCTAAATGCCGGAACACCGCGGCTGCTATGATGATCCCAAAGAAATTTTGTTAATACGATTTTTGAACTGCCTAAGGTTAGTAGAACTGGGAAAAGCTTCCTCTTGTAGATTGTTCCACAATCTAGACACCCTCGGGACAAAGGAGCGGTCGTATCGGCCAGTTCTGGATGTACGAAGTTTGACACGGTTAGGATGGGACGACGAAGTCAGGCGGGTTTGTCTGGCAGGCACATCGCGCGGCGGCATCATGGAAGAGAGCTCTGAGGAGCAAAGCCCGTTGGTGTAGCGATAGAAAAGAGCTAGATCGCCGACGGCTCGCCGGTGCGAAAGAGTCACGAGACTGTCTGTTAGAGAAGAGTCATCGATCAGTTGGACCGCCCTCCTCTGGACAGCATCGAGCATGGACAATGTAGTCGGGGCGGCAGCACCCCAAATGTGTGAGCAATACTCGAGGCTAGGCCTTATCTGGGCCTTGTATAGAGTGAGAAGGTCATGCGGAGAAAAGTACTTCTTAGCCCTAAACAAATAGCCTAGCTTTTTCCCAGCAGCTGCAGCTATTGAAGAGATGTGTTCGTGCCAGATCAGGTCCTCGGTGATCTGGACTCCGACCAGCCGAAGTGAATGGCTCTTTGGTAGAACTCGGCCGTCCATCGAAACTGTATGAGCGCTAGGACGCTTTTTGTTCGTCAAAGTACAGTACTGTGTTTTGGAAGCATTGAACTGTACAAGATTGTTGCGTCCCCAAGCAGTGATAGCCTCCAGGTCTCTTGTCAGAGAAGAAGTCGTCGCTAGTCTTCTTTTTTCCAGCTCACCGGCAGAGATCGGCTTGTCACTCTGAATTCCTGCATGTAGAGTGCTGTCATCAGCGAAGCTGTCGATTGGGTTGATCGTGCAGGAAAGGAGGTCGTTGATATGTAAGAGAAACAGTGTTGGAGCCAAGACCGATCCCTGGGGAACACCCGCGTTGACGTTGTGGATGAAGGCAGCGTGCCACAGCTGATCGAACGCTTTTGTGATGTCAAGAGCAACGACATGAGCCTCACCATGAGACTGGATGAGTTTACTCCACAGTTGCGTGACGTAAGCTAGGAGGTACCCTATGGATCGTTGGTGCCGGAAACCGTACTGCCTGTCGCTAATCAAGCTGTGACGTTCGAGGTAGTCCAGAAGCTCGCGATTTATGCACCTCTCCATCACTTTACTTATAACAGAAAGCAGAGCTATAGGCCTGTAGTTGTAAGGGTGGATCTTAGATCCTTTTTCTTGGGATGGGCTGTACATGAGCAAATTTCCAGTTTTCTGGGAAGGTGCCGGATTCATAAGATATCTGGAAGAGACGCGAAAGAACTGGAGCAAGCTACGCTGCACATCTCTTCAGTACAATGGCAGGAATCAAGTCCGGACCAGAAGCTTTGTTGATGTCGAGCGACAAGAGCACTCGTCTTACGATCTTATGCCTGAATGTTACCTCCCGCATAGTGTGGGGAACCCTTTGAATTGACGGCACTTGGGCGTTGGTGGGGACGTCTATGGTGGAGTTGGCAGCAAAGATCTTAGCTAGCAGTTCCGCCTTGGCCTTTGAGTCGAATACAATAGTTCCATCCTGACACGTAAGTGGTGGAAGGCTACTATGTGAGAAGTTCTTTTCAATCTGCTTGGCCAGCGTCCAGAAAGACCGACTGCCATTGCGCTGCGACAGTACCCTGTGCCTAACTTTTATATCATGCTGGCTTTTGGCATTGCGAACCGTTCGTTATATTTGTTCGACGCATCCGCGTCAGTGAAACAGACATCTCTCCAAGGAAAGCTAGAGAAGAAGTCTCTGAGCCCCTCCCATTCGGCGTGTCCGTAATGCCAAGCTTTGCGGCCTGTACGAGTTTCTGCTGCCACAGCGGCTTCTGACGGAAACCTAACCTCCACAACACCGTGATCTGAGTTACCCAGGGGGGACAGGACAGCAGTGCTGTAAGGGATAGGATGCGTGGTCAGAAAGAGATCCAGCAGGCTACTGGAGTGTGACGAGACGCGGGGAGAAAAAAGTAGGGCTCGTCACCAGCTGGGTCAGCCCTTGAGTAAGAGCGAACGCTTCGACTGCACGACCTGCTGCATCGGTCTTGTTTGAGCCCAACCAAAGCTCATTATGGGCATTGAAATCACCGAGAAGAACTACCTCTGAAGCGGGGTGATTGATGTTCAGGAAGTCGATCTGGACGGCGAGGTATTCGAGTAGGTCATCCCAGTTATGGTTCGAGGGAGAGCGATAAAGGCAGCAAATAAATTTGGGTGATGTTTTGGAGTTGAGGCGAAGCCACAGAATGTCCTTCCGGTCTGATTCCAAAGAAAGATCCCTGGAGCAGGAAAGACTGCTGCGGACAAAAGCCACAACTCCCCCGTTCTTTCTCAGATTGGAGTGCACCTCGTAGTTTGTGATGTTGAGATGGTTAATCGGTACAGTCTCTGAGATTTTTGTCTCCGCCAAGAAAAGCACGGCGGGAGGATTGGATTGCAGGTAGTGATGAACATCAATGTTGCTGTTAATCTCGCAGATGTTCGAAAAACAAATTTTATCTTCGATGTTGTTCCATCGAGCCCACCCTCCACCCGAACATTCTGAGATTTCCGAGATACTGTGGATTTAAACACATTTATTTACACATTTTATACTGTTATTATATTAAAAAAAAGAAGGACGACTTAACGTCACTCCTGAAGATCCTAATAGGTAATCAATACTTACAGTTCTCTGAATCTGCAGAAATTCTTGGTGTTGTTTTTGTCACAGAATTAAAATTTATAAAACATGTCAAAAGTATAGCGAAAAAAACTTATCCAAGGGCGCGTACTCTAACTGCACACAAATATCTACTAAATTTCAAGTTCCATGTTTAGACATCTATACCAAAAACCCAATTCAAATATCCAAAATAATTGTATACGTTTGCTCAGCAAAATATCCAATACTCAATTGGTTGAAAATAAATGATTTGGTTAAATATCACTACTCAGTTTTCATTCATAAATTATTAATTACGAAAATAAAATTTATTTACATTCATTCTAGACCACTTAGAGATATCTAGGTAGGTAGGATATCTCAGTACTCAATAACCCTATTCCAATGCCGCAATGCTGCCACCATATATAATTCCTTTCCAAGATTGTATAAGCAATACTCATTAGCAACTTTTCGACAAAAAGCGAAATCATATAACTTTAATGTTTCTAACAATTTTTTTGCTTTTCTAGTTTGTGGCGTTGTTTGCCTTGGAAAGTATGCCAGTTTTGACTTTATTGTAATAATTTATTACTACAAATTTAAATTTGCTGTGAATAATATTTCATTATTATCAACATATGCTAGTGACTTTTATGGCTAAATGTAAGAGCAGCAAACGCTAAATTTCGCCGTTCAAGTCATACTCAAGCTGCATTACAGTGTTATTGTATATAAAATGAAGATGTTGATGACTGTTATTATTATTATTATTATTATTATTTGTTCATTCAACTATCTCCTCTGAGAGGGTTTTCTATGCTTAATGCAGGCGTATACCAAAGCATGTAAGCAATTTAAAGGCAACTACCAATATTGCAGGTTACTGTGTCGAGTTTTCGCATGCCACGACCCTACATACAGACTTCTGCATGTCTCCAGTAACGCGGCTTTCTGATATTTTTTTTGTAAACATGTTGGCCAAGGTATAGCTTTTCAAGACTTACGTGTAACTTCTGTGGCGCCAATAACCACCGGTACAATTATAACTGCATCCATTTCCCTCATCCGCTCTATTTCTTCTGACAGCGGTATATACTTCTTGATTTTTTCTGAGTAGGTACTTTCAAGTTTGATAGGGAACGGAACCACTATATCTATTATTATTATTAATATTATATTATGAAGTCTATAAATATCTACTGTCAATAATAATGGAAATTTTCATCTGATAACGTGAGATGGACAACATTTTGGGATACATGGTATCTCGCCAAGCGTCTGCGAAACAATAAAAACAACTTCCCCATTCCCTACAGTTTATTTATTGAAATTAACAATAAGTAGATAGCATTATAATATTAATGATTTCAGATATAAGTTCTGCAATTCCAATCACCATCGCCTATAGTAGTTGTGGCAATGCAGACACCCAGTTACGAAATAATTGTGTGAGCATGGGGGTGCTGGACCCCATTGAGGGTAACATGGGGGCTGATGATGATAGTGATGGTCTCTGTAATGGCGGTCATATCTGTGATAATGATGGTGATGTCTCATATGCGGAGGAACGAAAATGTGTTCCAAGATCCTTCCTATCGCACCACGGTGCTCATGGGGTGGTCTGTGGTGTTCTGAACAGGGCGGTCCGTCCCTCATGGTGAACGCTGAATAAAAAGATAGTGAGGATAGACGCAGTGTCAGAAATAATAATAATAATATCAGGCAGGGGGTACTTTCTGAAAAAAGGATGCATTAGAAATAGAGACTCGTATTTCTAAAAAACTATCCAGATTGGACAAACTCGTAATTTTTTTGGATATCTTTGGAAAATTGTATCTAAAGTATTTCTGGTTTCAGAAATATTTACCTACTAAAATATTTAGATCCAGAACATTCTCGACCCAAAAAAATGAGTATGAATTTCTTTACCTACTCATAGACGGAAAGTGGTAGAACCACTTCATAATAGAACTAGCTCTTGAAGAAGTTATAAACAATATATAGGTGAAAAATTAAAGCTTCCGCTTTTTGTTGGGTACTTCGACAAAATTTAAGCAAAGAGGACTCTTTATACTTTTTTTAATTCTCTCTAGCTTTCAATGGACTTTGCCATCATCATCAGGAGCTGCAATTGCAATGATAACAGTAGCAACAAAAGTGTAAAATGAATTTAAATTGAATCAACTTACAGTAGTATGTGAGGATGTTGCTAATTGTTGTTTTCGTATAGGATGAGGGAAACGTCCAGTAACATAGTGAGAGCTGGATACATGGTACAATGGTTAAAATTATATAAAATATGACAAGACAAGTTAATGACAGATTAAAAATTATATAGTAGAAAACATTAGAGCATTACGTCGTGAAGCCACTTGATGATTGCACAAAATGGTGGTCATGGAATAATGAGTGAGATGAACCTTTGACAGAAGGCCGAAGGTTGTCAATGTCTGTGTTGAAAGATGGAACAAATTGTGGGCGTGTGCCAATACGTTGCCAAATCACTTCAGATGATGTGATTTTCAGAATGTTATGTAAGAAATTGTTAAACCGACCAGAGGCAGTTGAATACAATATATTTTAATTGATGGGAATTTTAAATTAACAATTATTAATAAATCGTGAGAAGAGAATTATTAGATTTTGAGTGGAATGAAATTTGTTGGTGGAATCGGTCAAAACACAGATTGTATTTATGGTTGTGAAAAGTCGAAATTTGGGGAGATATGTAAGTTCTCCAATTTTTCGCAGTTTAACAAATATGAGTAAATGACACTCAGTTGTTTAATATCTGTCTTTTTGTTGATACAGTTGTTATTCATGAAAATGTGGGACATTTCCAGGAATAAACGTTTGGAAAGGTGTTTGTCTTTATCAAGAACTTTGATACTTGTGTAATTCATAGAATGTCCTGTTGTGTTAACATGAGATGCTAGAGCGCATCTTTCAGGATGTAGCCTAGCATCACTTTTGTGTGATGTAATCCTTCCTTTAAGAGATCTGGAGGTCTGACCTATGTATATTTGGTTGCAGTTGTTGCAATTGATAGAGTAGACTGTGTTAGTTAAGCCAAGCAGCGGGACTTTGTCTTTCATTTTTGAAAAAATGCGGTTTATAGTGAGGACGGATTTGCAAGCAATTCGAAAGTTCAAAGGACTGCACAATCTGATCAGCTTAGGGGTCAGTTCCTTGATATAGGGCAGGACAGCAAAACCAGGTCTGGAGTCTGGGTTGGTGCTTGTACTGTTTGGATTGATGCTATTATTGGGAATTACATCAGTTCCGTTATTATTAGGGGTTGTGTGACTATTACTTGTATCACCAGAGTTCGGCAAAATATTGGAAGGTGAACTAAATAAGATCTTGTTAATCAGACACTTTGGATAACCATTATTGATGAACAGTTTTGATAGTTTATGTAAATTTGAGGTGTGAAAGTATTATCTGAGATGCTGATTACCCTTGTTTTCATCTGTTTTAGCAAATTGATTTTAATCCCTAGCTTATGGTATGACCTAAAATTGAGAAACCGACCTGAGGCCATAGGTTTCTGGTACCAGTCTACCAATAAATTGTTGTTGTTGGTGCGGATGAGTCTTGTGTCTAGAAAGGGGACAGACAGGTTCTCATCTTCTTTTTCATTGGTAAATTGGATGTAGGGGTCATAGCTGTTGAATTCTCTGACAATACCATCCAGACCTATGGAGGGGAGGCATAAAATAATGTCATCTACGTATTTTTTTATGAAGAAGAGGTTATAGGGTAGTGTCGGAATAACAGTGTCAAGTAGATCATCCATGACATATTCTGCCAAAATTGGTGATAGAACAGATTCCATAGGACAACCATGTGTTTGAGAATATATTTTGTTGTTGAAAGAGAAATAATTGTTATGAAAAAGGAATGTTATAATGTTGGTGAAAGATTCTAGAGATATGTTGCAGTGTTGACTGATCTCATTCCAGTGTTTATTAATAGTTCTTGTACATGCATCCAGATAGATATTGCTGAATAGTGACATAACATCAAGACTGGCGATAATATGATCGGCTGGTATTGTCAATCTGTTGAACTGACGAGAGACCTCAAATGAGTCTTTGATGTAGTAATCATTATCTGCATGTGCTGATTTTAGTGTTGTCGATATTAATGAACACAAAGCCTGGGTGGCTTAACCTATTGATGCAACTATAGGTCTTACTGAGAGTACGGGTTTGTGAATTTTCGGAAGTGCATAGAATTTTGGAGGGACAGAGTCATAAGTGGTCAAAGTTCTTTTTTGTTCTTGGGTTATTTGTCCAGTGCTGAGAAGTTCCTTAACAATGTCATTACTTTTCTTTTCAACTTTAGGTGTGGGATCTCTATTAATTTCATGATATGATGGGTCATCATTGATGAGATTGTTGCAAAGATCTAAATAGTGTTGTTTAAGCATTATCACTGTAACATTGCCTTTGTCAGATCTTGTAACCATAAGTTCAGAATGTTGTTTTAGAAATGTTCTAGTTTTGTTTAAATGGTTGTGATAAAAGGAATGCTTTTTATTAAGATTGTTACTATGATAATAGTTAGTGATGAGGTTAGTGGAACGAGTTGTGAAAATGTTTCTTTCAGTGTCATCACTTATGGAGGATGCTATTGTGTCTACATCAGCTAGGATTGATCTAATTGGAATGTCATTGTTAACAATCGACAACACTAAAATCAGCACATGCCGATAATGATTACTACATCAAAGACTCATTTGAGGTCTCTCGTCAGTTCAACAGATTGACAATACCAGCCGATCATATTATCGCCAGTCTTGATGTGGTGTCACTATTCAGCAATATCTATCTGGATGCATGTACAAGAACTATTAATAAACACTGGAATGAGATCAGTCAACACTGCAACATATCTCTAGAATCTTTCACCAACATTATAACATTCCTTTTTCATAACAATTATTTCTCTTTCAACAACAAAATATATTCTCAAACACATGGTTGTCCTATGGGATCTGTTCTATCACCAATTTTGGCAGAATATGTCATGGATGATCTGCTTGACACTGTTATTCCGACACTACCCTATAACCTCTTCATCATAAAAAAATACGTAGATGACATTATTTTATGCCTCCCCTCCATAGGTCTGGATGGTATTGTCAGAGAATTCAACAGCTATGACCCCTACATCCAATTTACCATTGAAAAAGAAGATGAGAACCTGTCTGTCCCCTTTCTAGACACAAGACTCATCCGCACCAACAACAACAATTTATTGGTAGACTGGTACCAGAAACCTATGGCCTCAGGTCGGTTTCTCAATTTTAGGTCATACCATAAGCTAGGGATTAAAATCAATTTGGTAAAACAGATTAAAACAAGGGTAATCCGCATCTCAGATAATACTTTCCACACCTCAAATTTACATAAACTATCAAAACTGTTTATCAATAATGGTTATCCAAAGTGTCTGATTAACAAGATCTTATTTAGTTCACCTTCCAATATTTTGCCGAACTCTGGTGATACAGGTAATAGTCACACAACCCCTAATAATAACGGAACTGATGTAATTCCCAATAATAGCATCAATCCAAACAGTACAAGCACCAACCCAGACTCCAGACCTGGTTTTGCTGTCCTGCCCTATATCAAGGAACTGACCCCTAAGCTGATCAGATTGTGCAGTCCTTTGAACTTTCGAATTGCTTGCAAATCCGTCCTCACTATAAACCGCATTTTTTCAAAAATGAAAGACAAAGTCCCGCTGCTTGGCTTAACTAACACAGTCTACTCGATCAATTGCAACAACTGCAAGCAAATATACATAGGTCAGACCTCCAGATCTCTTAAAGGAAGGATTACATCATACAAAAGTGATGCTAGGCTTCATCCTGAAAGATGCGCTCTAGCATCTCATGTTAACACAACAGGACATTCTATGAATTACACAAGTATCAAAGTTCTTGATAAAGAAAACCACCTTTCCAAACGTTTATTCCTGGAAATGTCCCACATTTTCATGAATAACAACTGTATCAACAAAAAGACAGATATTAAACAACTGAGTGTCATTTACTCATATTTGCTAAACTGCGAAAAATTGGAGAACTTACATATCTCCCCAAATTTCGACTTTTCACAACCATAAATATAATCTGTGTTTTGACCGATTCCACCAACAAATTTCATTCCACTCAAAATCTAATAATTCTCTTCTCACGATTTATTAATAATTGTTAATTTAAAATTCCCATTAATTAAAATATATTTTATTTAACTGCCTCTGGTCGGTTTAACAATTTCTTACATAACATTCTGAAAATCACATCATCTGAAGTGATTTGGCAACGTATTGGCACACGCCCACAATTCGTTCCATCTTTCAACACAGACATTGACAACCTTCGGCCTTCTGTCAAAGGTTCATCTCACTCATTATTCCATGACCACCATTTTGTGCAATCATCAAGTGGCTTCACGACGTAATGCTCTAATGTTTTCTAAATAATTTTTAATCTGTCATTAACTTGTCTTGTCATATTTTATATAATTTTAACCATTGTACCATGTATCCAGCTCTCACCATGTTACTGGACGTTTCCCTCATCCTATACGAAAACAACAATTAGCAACATCCTCACATACTACTGTAAGTTGATTCAATTTAAATTCATTTTACACTTTTGTTGCTACTGTTATCATTGTAATTGCAGCTCCTGATGATGATGGCAATGTCCATTGAAAGCTAGAGAGAATTAAAAAAAGTATAAATAGTCCTCTTTGCTTAAATTTTGTCGAAGTACCCAACAAAAAGCGGAAGCTTTAATTTTTCACCTAACTGGTCTAGACGACAATGACCACGTCTCATAATATATATATATATATATATATATATAAAATAAGATTATTTTTTAATATAAAATGGCATTTTTAACTTAATTTTTGAATACAACAACCCTAAGGTGTCCTTCAGATGGTCGACAACACTGTTCCAAGCGAAAACTCAAATTTTCGAACAATTAAATTTGCTATTGAAATTGTCGCTATGTCTTGGCGAATGTTTTAAAGCAATTCGTTGAACTTTTTTGAATCAGTATTCAAGATTCTGCTCTTGAGACAAGTCACAGCATCGATAATTGTGTCAAATTCGTACCAGCAATACAGAGTCACTGAGCATCTGCGATTTAAGAGTTTGATGCACATAGCTTGATAATAGTGTCTTATTGTAAGATTCAGTGCCCCATAAGGGAACAGAAAAACAAAAGTTGATTGAGGCAGCTTCAGCCGCAAGTCACAGCCAGCCGCCCCGGGCCATGACTCGTTTGCCTCTAGGGTAAATACGCGGGATATTTGTTAAGCGGTGTGACATTGAGTGGGCACCATAAAGTTCTGATTTGTCCTCTTCCGATTTCATTTTCTGGGGGCACCAGACTTTTCAAAGATAATTCAAAAATCCTTGACGAGTTGAATCAATGAAATGGTGACAATTTTACTATCTTTAGTATCTTGCAGGCGAGTATTGGAATATTTGAGGTTTCGCTTGTTTAAAGAAAATAGCTAAAAATGTCCTTTTATTTCGCAAAGGTTATTAAATCTACTTTCATTCAAGGTGAATTTTCAACGTTGAGTCATTTATTTTGACTGCATATAGGACTCGTCTACAGCAGCTGATATAACAAAAATCACCTATATGAAAGTTGCATAATATAAGAAATAGTAAAAGAATAAACATTTTAAAAAATGAGAATGTGATTCCACAAATATTTTGATATCCTCGACCACTGTCGTGTAAAATGTTAGCGTTTCTGTTTACTACTCTTATGTTTTATCTAAATTTGGCTAACTTTTTGTGTTATCGTATAGTTTTCAGTACGAGTCTTTGGTTCGATCAGTTGTATCAGTCTTTTAATAGTGCTTTTACTTTCATTTGTCTGATTATTTTGTTTAACTTGGTAATGATTTTTTTAAATAATTTTTAATATTGTATACAAACATTATTATGCAAATTTTATGTAGGTGATTTCTGGTATATCAGCTCCTAGATTTCTACAAGCAGTTAAAATAAATGACTCAACTATGAAAACATCCTGTATAGTCCATAAGACAAACAGATTTTTTGTAACAAAAATAAATCTCATAGTCAAACCCTACACTTTGCTTAAGTATTTCATAATGTGTTACTCTTACCTCAGCTTTCACAAACAGACAACAAAAGGCGGATGTGATCTATCAGGAACCAAAACCAGGTAATTATATTGGTCCTTATCTTATCGATCCCTCGCATTAATGTTTTCCTTTCATTGTTTGCTCTCATATCGACAAAAAAATCATAATGCATTTCCTATCGACATATGAGTCACCAAATCGCTCATCATACATGAAAAGTACATTTCACAATCGTGAGAAAATTTTACCTTAGTTGGAACATTCAAGAGATAATGAATTAGCTGTTTCGTCTTAGATTCTCAGGCTTAAACGATAGAAGCATTGTGATAAAAAATATATACAAAAATTGGAAAAGCTTTCTAGTTTGTAAATGGATGCTGCACATGTAGTACCGAAATGTATCAACTATGACACACACAAATTCAGCAGAAGACATTGAAGTAAGAAATACGATCCGAACTTTTGTTATGGCTATACTTCACACACGTTTTTAACCCGAGCTTCTTCAATAATATTTTTTGCGAACACACTCTCCATTATTCCTTACCTGTTATAGCAGATAAAACCAGGCTATAGCACTGATAAAAGCATCTGACAATAATACGTAATAATTTATTCAAATTCCTTTGCGGATACGGAACGTCAACAGGAAAAGGTCGGATTTTCATAAGCAAAAGAAAAATATACATGGCTAAATTAGGATAAAATAGATGATAACAAATTATAAAATAAGTAACAAAAGCAGTATGATGGCTTAGATGTATAAATAGTAAAATAGAAGAATATAAAAAGTTTGCATCACAAGTAAAATAATCAATAATAAAACATTGGACTCGGTTTCTTGGGATAGCAACGGCTTGTGATAGGACGAATGAAGATGTTTGGGATAACGACTCAACACTGAACTCCGTTGCTTGAGATGGTAACTTGTACTTAGCTCATAATGACACTGAAAGCGTTTGGGTCCAACGTAGCGACAAAGTATGGTCAACAATCTCTTCTCATTTGCTTGTGGTAGCAAATTTCACCTGGGTTGTGATGACCATGGAACAGGACTGTAGGTTAGAACATGGCAGGTTAAGAAATCGTCAAGGTATATGTTTTCCTCATTACCAGATAGAGACTAGGTATCTTAGGCGAGGTTAGCATTACATTTTGCTTGTGATAGGAAATTCCATCTGGATTGTGATAACCATGGAACAGGATTGTAAAGATGCACATGAGAGGTTATGAAGCCACCGAAGTATACTATTTTTCATTAATAACAGACATAACTTAGGTAACTCTATGCGAGACTAGCGTCACATTTTACATGCGATAGCAAATTCCACCTGGTTGGTGATAACTATGGAACAGGACTGTACGTATGAACATGACAGGTTATTAAACCACCAAAATACTAATTTTTAGTTGTATGATTTCTCGGGCTGGGACATTCGCTGGGCAAGACAAAAGTCTCATAGTTTTTGGTCCCGTATGCTAATCGTCTGGAACTACATGCAGTTTTCTTCAGCCGTGATTGATATTGCGACAACTATATCACACATCAATAGAAAGGGGAGCTCCTAGTTTCCATGCCTGGACCAGGATACGAGAGCGCAATGGCAGTTGTGTAAAGAGAGAACTCTTACTGCACTCGCGCCAAATATAAAATCTAGGAGTAATACTGATAAAGACGAGCTTTTGCGTCAGTGGGACGTGGAAATGGAGTGGAAGCTACACCTGTCACCGCCCTGATTTGGGTTCATCTCTTCGGTGTCCCTGAAGTTTCGCTTCTAGAAGTAACGCAAATATCGGATGGAGGGACCCTGGACCCCACTTTTCCATATTTTTATTGTGGGCTTAGATTACGATAGGACCTTTGTCGGGAACAAATATATCATATGTCTGCTTTTTCTTGAAATTTTTCACCTTACAGTTTGATAAGAGATTAAGATATAATTGTTTGATTTGCTATACGTCAGCTATCAGTCTTTTACCCAAAATACTACTAACGTTGCAATGATTGGCTTAGACTTAAGCTCTATTGAACCTATGATCAAAAAGACATGCATGTACGTTTTAAAAATGTGTTTTACTACAAAAAATCAATGATAAATCATTCTTCTATAACTTTGAAAAGAGACGGTGACCCGTGCTGCGGTACTATGGAGGAATCTATTTTATTTTTTGATAGTGGGATCTATTACTTAGACTAGGGAGGATGTTAAACGCCTCAGCATTCATGGATGTCTACTATGCATGTGTACACTCTGTCATTTTATATGGCACTACTGCGTGGGGCCAGGCTAGTGAAATCTCTAGAGTGTTTGTTTTGCAAAAAAGAATCGTTCGCATTATATTTAAAATACGGTCCAGATCTTCTTGTCGTAAGATATTTGTTAAACAAAAAATACTTACAGTGGCATGTACATATCTTTATAAACTTTTAACATATAGTTTTCAGCACAGAAATGATTATCTGAAGCATACTGACCTCCATGACTACAGCACTCGTAATAAAAATAATATAGTTAGGCATGTGTCATATCATACGTTTCATTCAAAATCTCCCATAACAGCAGGAATATACTTTTCAACATATACCTCCGGAGATCAAAAACGTAAACTCCATAGGGCTTTTCACAAGACGTTTGCGGAATAAGCTATCGGACTTCCGTTTTTATGATCTAGGTGAATTTGTCACGTTCCACAGTGCTTCTGATAGATCTTAATAAATAATTTATTGCCATGTGTGTATCATATTGTTTTTTTATGTTCCTATTGTTATTGGTATTGTGCTTGATTTTATCTATATTTTAATCTGTTCATACCGACTGATCCAATGTCTACAATGTAGATCTAATTAGATTAATAAATGAATCTGAATCTGAATCTATTGACCTTTTACAGTATTTACTTTCTTGATGTCCTCCGAATTCGATAAACTATAAATTACATGAAATGAAATATTATTCGCTTAACCACTCTAATATATACCAAACTCAATAAAAGCGAAATAAATATAACCATTAAAAATAACAATACAACTTTAACTGTATTGATCGATGTCGTGGCTGCATTCTATTTCCTGGCAGGAACTTAAAATAGTAAGTCTGGCAACGATGAGCGAATAAAAGCACAAAAATGCATCTTCAAGGATGTCCCGAAACAAACTAATTGGCAGGTTCTAGGAACGACTCCAACGGGACCTATCCACTCAAACTGGACGCTTTTGTTTAAGTGACTTATTTTTATAGTATAGTCGCTCATTTCCTACATCATACACAGGCAGCAGCGGTGGCCGCACTAGTAGGCTCTTCGGTCTCCGTGCGCTGTGCGGGTTCGAGTCCCGTCCCAGGAGAAATTTTTCTCTTAGCTATGGATGTTGTGATTGTCCGTAGCTGGTGGACGGTCTCTGACTGTCGAACGTGCAGGTACCACCCGGCGGATCTCGTAGGCGGAGCCAGAATGTGTGCATGTTGCATGCACACGTGTTCCCTCGCCAGAGTCCGTGTGGCGTCCCCCCCTTTCCCATGTATCCCCCTATAGCCCCACGGTACCCAACGGGTGCTTAGGCCTTAGGCCTTCGTGGTAGTTCGAGTAAAAAAAAAATACGAGGCCTCTTGATATCCTGGCATCTTACAGCAGCACCGAACGTGATATCCTGAGAAAAAAAGTGTCATGCATGGGCATGGGTCAAGAGCCTCCTCGAGTGGTACAAAATACTGATTCTGGACGAGTTTGTCAGCTTTGGATGAGCCATTTCTCCAAATCAAGACATGCAAACTCTTGGAGGCCTCCTAGGAGCCGAAGTTAAACCACAAAGAATGGTGGAAACAATGATTAGCGATATAAGGTAATGAGATTTGATAGCAGCCTATACTAGAGACACTCAAATTTCCGGTAAGAAAAAAGGATTAACTAAATGATCGCCAAAAATACCAGCCCAAACATTTAAGTTTTGTGGCTGCTGTGTATGAACCTCATGATAAATTCTGGGATTAGAATCGGACCAATATCGGCAGTTATGACGATTTACTACGCCATTTAAGAAAAAGGAACATTGGTCGGAAAAGCAAGTGTTGAATAGAAAATGTTCATCGTTTATAATTTGTTCACTCATATCTTCACAAAATTGTAATCGCTGATCAAAATCGTCTTCATTAAGTTCTTGTACCAGGTGAATTTTATACGGATGAAAACTATGGGCCTTTAGAATCCGTCGGACAGTACATCGACTAACACAACACACAGTGTCCAATTTGCGGGTACTTAAGGTAGGATCTACATAAACTTGCCTAAAACCCTCACTTCTATTGCTTCGTTCCTTATGGGATTTTCAATGTTGCGTTTTTTTATTGGCGACTGACCCAGTTTTCCGAAGTTTAGCTACAAGTTCTAGAACATATTTTCGATGCACGTTACTGTTTTCATGTCGCTCATTAAATATTTCTGCTGTTCTATAGCGCACTGATTATTTCCGAAAATATTTCGATAATTCAACTCTTTGTGCTGTGGAATATACCATGGCTAATTCATGTAATAAAGCGTTACAAGTTATTTTAGCAACAAAGTTTGGTCAAATCAAGCGCAACTATATGCTAAACTCCTATTTAAAGTAAGTACGAGACATTTCCTTATCTTTCTTCAAGAAATAACTAAAAAACTAAAGAATAACACAAAAAACGTTCCAATAGCTATTTTCAACAACAGAATGATAAACAAACCATGGGCGTAGTGAAGAAAAGCATTTACTGATTAAGTAAATTCTTTTAGTCAAATTTCTTCTGAAAGTAGTACAAACTATTCTTATGTACCTATTAAGTCTACTTTAAGCTTTAAATCAATAAATCTTCAAAACTACTGAACTGAAGCTCATGTATTTTACATCATTATAAAGGGAATTGAAAGACCTTTAAAATAAGTTATCACTCGACCCCCCTTTCCATTTAAGATTTTAGGGTTGGTGTCACCCCCGCCCAGGGAGCTGCACGTGTTAACGTGATTTGTGCCAAACTTGTGTCGAAACCAAATCGACGGGTCTGAGCGTTTTTCCAAAACTGAGCTGCCAGTAAATGCGTCTGTTTCGTTTTCGATGCGCCACCCTGTATATAAGCAGACTGGCTTGATCTACAAAAACCTGCCCACCGAAGTGTTCCTAGAGTAGTCCTAGATTTTAGAAGCGTTGCAGAG